GTGACTCGAGAAGACGATGGCAGAACAACAAGATCCAGAATTTCCAGATGGACCAGATCATGACCTATCTGAAGAAGACATGATGTTTGTCGCACGGCGTGAAAGAGCGTGAGAAAGCGTGAGGAAGCTTGTCAAGCGTAGCAAAGCTTAACAAAGCGTTTCAATCCTTGATTAAAGCGTCTCAATTCGTTCAAAAGCTTGAGAGTCCTTCATGAAAGCGTAACAAAGAGTGTCAGATATTGATGAAAGCGTCTGACCTCATGTCAGATCTTCATGCCAGATCGTAACAAAGCTTGAGACTATAGGTCCGAAGCGTGTCAAATGGTAACAGACCGTGAATAGACTGGGGTCCCTGCTTTGAACCAAGCTCTGTTAAGCTTTCTTACGCTTTGGGTCAAGCTTTGCCGAGCTTTGTTACGGTTTGTTAAGCTTTGATACGCTCTCGGCGCTTTAATCAATTCGTAACGGAGCGCCCAAAATGTTTAAACAGTTTAAAAAAATTTGGCGCTCATGCCGAACATCCCGCTTTACTTCGAGCTTTTCTACGACCTACTACGACCCCGACGCTTTAATTAAGCTTTGTTACGCTTTGGTGCCGCTTTACAAGTCCCTTTAATCAATTGGGTCTTTAATCAATTCGTAACAGAGCGCCCAAATTTTTTAAACAGTTTAAAATTTTTTGGCGCTCTTGCCGAATATTCCGCTTTAATCCGAGCTTGTGTACGACCTATTACGACCCCGACGCTTTAATCAAGCTTTGTTACGCTTTGGTGCCGCTTTACAAGCCGCTTTAAAGCACCATCAAAGCGCCGTTGGTATGAACAAAAATGACAAAAATGACGGCGCTTTGCTCGCCCATTTAAAGCGTGGCATTCGCCGTTGGTGTGAACATCGCTTTACCCAAAAAGTCCAATATGATTTTTCTGATATTGCAGAATTCTATAGTTGATATATTGACTTTCAAAAATCCAAACAGGCACATTTCACCCCGGAAGCATAGCTTTGACCTTTAGTTGACCTTCTGTGACATTCGAAAGGTAAAAAGTTGATTTTTCACATTGATTTTTGGGATTCAAATTTAGGTTGGTTTAATCACAAAAGACATACTGAGGTCTGAAAAAGTAAAATTTTCAAGGTCAAAAGGTCAAGGTCATCAAATCAGGTCACAAACTGTGCTATACCAAGTTTCTCAAAATTCGAGACTACAAATCAATAGTTTAGGTTAAAAGTCAGGATATATATTCCTTTAGAGGTACTTCTTACAGTTTTTTTTCAAATTGAGTTTTTGGATTCAAATTTAGTTTAGCCTAATTACAAACAGTCTACGGAGGTCAAAAACAGTAAACCTTTTCAATGTCAAGGGTCAAGGTCATCAAATGAGGTCACAAACTGTGCTATCTAAGTTTCTAAGTTAGGACATGTATAAATGTTTCTATTTTTACATATACTGCTTCAATATGATCCTTTGATTGCTTATTTTTTAAATTCAAAGTAGTTCCAAACATTTAAAGAGACTCCGGGACTACAAATCAATATTTTTAATCAGAAGTCGGAATATACACTTCTCTAAGGTTTCTACACATATTAGCAATTGACTATCTAATAGAATTTTGTCCCAATTTTGAGAGCTCAAAAATTGATAAAGGGTCAATTTGAAATTTTTGAAGGTCAAATTTTAACTTGCTTCAAATTGAACAAATTTTTTAAATATTTTTTATGTAGGTCAAGTGCAAAGGTCAAAATCTAAGTCAACTCAAGTTTTTTTCAAGTTTCTCAAGTTTGTCCTTATACTTCATTATTTCTTGCGATGAATTAAAGTGAGACTAGATTTAGGTTTTCCCTACAAATTGTTCACTATATGTCAGCATTAATTTTTTACAGTTTTTTAGATTTTTTTTTTTTTATTAAAATCAACAAATTATATACAAATTACAGAGAGTGTTGTTACGTTACATAAAAAACAATCTTTTTCAAGAATCAGAAAATGGAATCAGCTAAATAGTAAATACTAATATTGTTCTGTTTACCAACAGCAATACAATTTTTAAGTTGGATAATTTTCTTAGAGGCAACCTTGGTAAGTATAGGATTACCAAATAAAATGTCATTACAGGTTATACCTGGGAAATGCTTATCCCAATAATGTAATGTAACAGATTGTCTTGCACTAAGCAGCTTTGACAGAGTTCATTTTGTACTTCTTCAATTTGATATTTGTACATTAATTTTCTGGTAGGAAATATTCCATGCATAATTTTCCACTGTAGTTCAATTATTTTTGTTTCTTTAAATAATTCTTTTGTAAGGGTCCATTGTTTTTCACTAAATCTATCTGGACCAATGAGCAACTTGTCTTTAGTTAATTCAAGTCTTACATTTTTACATGTCAATTCTCTTACATTAATGTTTCTGAAAGATAAAGGCTCGCAGTGCTGTGGAATAGTTCTGTTTATTAACAGTCTTGAAATAATGGAATTGACTGTTGTATACTGAAACCAAGTTTCACCATTTCTTAGGAGAGTTGTACATAGTTGGTCATAAGATATCATTGTTTCATTTACAAGTACATCTGAAATATAAATTAGACCTGATCTGATCCAATTTGGAAAAAATAAAGGGTTTTGTCTAAACAATACATTTCTGTTATTAAACAAATAATCATTTTCAATCCCATGGTTCTTATTACATTCTAACCACGTGGTTAACAATCTTTTATAAAATTTAGACTTAATGTTATCAATCCCTATGAATTTAGCTTCTGATACAGAAGACTTAAACACACTCATGTTTTTGCCTAGTTTATTAAAGTACAATAAAGGTAATATTCTAAATGCACCATTGCCTGGTGTTGACAGGTTTTTAACCCACTTTAATAAATAAGCTTTCTGGATATCATGTACATTAATCATTTTTAAACCACCTTTGTTATAATCCTGTATTATGATATCTCTTTTTACCTTTTCTGGCACACGTTTTAAATCTTCCTCTTTAAATTTGCTTTTTGACCAGAGGAACTTGAACATGAGAACATTGATTCGATTGAGCAGATTGTCAGGCATTACAAAAGTTTGCATTAAATAACTAAACTGAGATGTCAATAATGACTTGATTAGTGTAATTCTACCCAGTAATGTTAAATGTCTACTTTGCCAGCTTTTCATTATTTTTTCGCATTTATCAAATTTAGACTGTACATTATCATTTAAATGATATTTGACGTCAAAAACGGTCAAAAAAGGTCATTTTTCAACTTGCTTCAATGTGACCAATTTTTTTAAAAATCATCTACATGTTCCCAGGAGTCCAAATCTGACCTCAGATTTGATCTTTGACCTTTAGTTGACCTTCAGTGACCTTCGAAATGTCAGAAAAGTTGATTTTTTAAATTGAATCTTTGGATTCAATTTTAAGTCAGCGTAATCAAAAAGGCCTAGTGAGGTCGAAAAAAGTAAACATTTTAAGGTCAAAGGTCAAGGTCATCAAATTAGGTCACAAACTGTGCTATCTAAGTTTCTCCAAGTTCGAGACTACAAATCAATATTTTAATTGAAAGTCAGGATATACATTTCTCTAAGAGTTCTACACATATTAGTAATTGGCTATTTATTAAAATGTTGTCCAAGTTTTGAGATATAAGAGCTCAAAAACTGAAAAAGGTCAATTTTTGGGTTTATAAGGTTACTACTTTTACATTGACATGGATTTTTACAATGCAGGACACCTAAAATTATTTGTAAAGCTAGGAAATGGGTCAAAAGTGAATTTCGCGACACAAAAATGGCGGCCATTTTGAAAATAGGCGAGCTTTTGAACGAGGAGTCATGGGGGAGTTTTCTGTATTGATGTTGAACAGAAATAACTTAAAACAGGAATAAAATCGACAGAGGTTTTAAAACGTGCCACTATTGTTGACGGACGGACGCACGAACGGATGGACGGACAGACAGACGGACAAGTGATTGCAAGAGCTCACCATGTGAGCTAAAAACACGACTGCATCATTCAACCTGTCCGGGTTACTACATAATTAACAAAATTGGAAACGATGTGATAGCAATGAAGCTGATGTTCTATTGTGTACGATAATTACATAACCAAAGCATATTATATTTGCTATTTTTCACGGGACTTGGACGCGCTTTTTGGTGCGTTGGCCTGCCCCCCCCCCTTAGTTGGTGATGTGAATTTCCTATCGGTTTCTATTTTACCTCGACATTTATACTAATTGTCCAGTCTGCCGGTCAGGTTTGTTTGTTCAGTCTTACTTGCGGTTCTTTTGAAATCTCAAAAAAACGATATGATGATGATCCAACCGCCGCCACCAAATTAGCAATTTTTGTCCAAACTGCCAATAACTTTTAGCTAAATCGTGCTGCCAATATCTACTTGACAGATCAAAAATAAATCGATGTATACAATTTATCAATTTATGTAACTAATTGATATAATCAATTACATTAATTAATATTAATTAAGTAATGTACATAATAATCTATTCATTTGTTCATTTATTTATCTAATTATCCATTTATCTATCTATCTATTTGTCTATTTACTCATCTGGAGTTTGAAATTGAACCCTTCCTTCCTACTAAACTAGTTAGGTTAATACGAATTACGCATTTCGATATTGGAGATCAGGCGTTACGTGATAGCGTTACCGCTCTGCCAAATAGCATTATGAATTAAACGAGGGTTAGATGAAGAAAACAAAATACCAATTATTAATCTAAGCTGTTTTTTAAATTCAGGCGGGGTTATCGAAGAGATACAAGGATTTGGTAACACGTTAAAGACCCAGTGAAAACTGACAGTGATTTTGTAACTTAACAGATAATATATGTATATTATTTTAAAAGACGACTCGCCCGATATGGCAGGTTTTACTTTTGGAAGAGTTATCATTCATTGTTTCATGTTAGTTAGCTGCTACTTTTGTCTAGTCTATCCATGAGAAGAACATCCTAAACAATAACTTTTATTTTCTTTAGAGATGATTATGATAGCCTAGACGATGACAGTTCAGATATAGAAAATTCAGAGAACTGTTACGAGGTTCCAAAGACTTTCGTTGGACTTGTGAAAAGGATAACTCCGGGTAGCAGGCGGCAATCAGCAATACCAGAGTTGCATAAGCCAAAAGAGAGGAGGTATGCGAAAACCCTATGGCCAAACATCGAAAAGGTGCTGGAACAACCTAACAGCAACGCAGTCCGTGCTAAACTTGATTCAGCAGCTACAACACTTAACAGATCAGTGGAATATGATATGGAGCAGCGAGGAGCTTTGATGAACTCGATACGAAGTGGTGTGAAGCTAAAAGAAGTTAAATCGTCTGCACCGTTAAGGATTAATAAAGAAAGTTTGATTAACGTGGAAGACGAATTTGACGGTTGTATGGAAGATATTGACACCCCTTTTTTCGAAAACGGAATAAATCATCAGAGTAGTATGGAGGAGTCTCAAACGGATTTCCGAGACCTTAGTCAGGAACCAGACCTAGACTTTAATTACAAGACCATGCCAATAAAACCCAAACATCAATCGACTCCTTTACCAGAAATTCCTAAAATAGTGCCACATTATTCAGTTTCATCCAAAGGAATCGAGAAACAATATACCAATGGAGATTTGATGATGCCAAGGTCGATGACTGGTAACTCATCTTCTATTGCTTCATTTCCAGCTGATATGTCTGACGCGCCATTGCTTCCAACTGACAATCATATGACCAATATTCAAGTTGAGCCAGACTGTCATAGCGACGGCACTGAGCCAAACTGTCATAGCGACGGCACTGAGCAAGACATATATTTTAAAAGTTGTGAGGAACACAAACAAAAGGGTGATGAAAATGCAAACGATCCAATAAAACTGGATATACCTGACAAAAGAGAACCTACTGCTGAGGCCGAAGATGAAGATGATAACCATATATACAGCCCCGTCGCCAATCAATCATCTACTGGTACCAATTCATATGGCCATGGAGATCCAGGTGAGCCACAAGGACTCTATTCAGAAGTCGATGATAAGGACAAACATAACCAAGATGAAGACAACATCTATGAGGCATATGAACCAGTTTCGTATACGGAATCTGAAGTAAAATCTGAGGTACATATTAAATCACCACTTTTAGATGTATCTAACACTAACTCATTTCCTGATGACGAAGACTTGGAAAAACCGCTGTTACCCCCACGTAATTTAAAACCAATGTCACCAAATATATCGAAACGTAAATTACCACCACCCCCTCCATCACCTGACAGAAGACCCGACACGCAAGATGCAAATTCAATAAAACCACCAGCTCTTCCAAAACGAACCTATTCTACGCAGAATAGTAAGAATTCACATTCATCGCCCCCAGACACACCAGCACCAGATCGACCAAAATGGGCCACAATTGAACTCCCCAAAGAAACAAGCTTGCGACAACGTCTTTTTAATCGATCAATGCCGAATTTCAAACGTCCTCTCAGACAGGAATCAAGTGATGGCTACATTGAACCTGTTGATACAACTAGACCAAGAAGTATGACTGACCTTCAGACAATGTACAGTAATCAAGTTGCGATGTCACGATTAAAAGATTATAATAAAAGAAAAACGAAGCCGGTGGATAATTTCTTTGAAACGGCAACATTCGCAGCCAGTGAGAGACTCAAATCAAATGAGAGAAAGGCTAAGAAAAATAAAACGTTATCAAAAGAGAGAGATAATCACATGGAAATCGGGTTTAAGCTCCATTATAGAATAATAACACAATTTGAAAAGTTGTTGCAAGACGATCCGGAAAAGTTTGCGCTCTCATTGGGCAGAGCAGTTAGAACTAACAACATTGCGGCAGTAAAGGTGTTATGTAGTATTCTAAGAAAAGAAAATTTCAAATATTCGGTATTCGGGGAACAAAAAAAATACAAACTTACAGATGCAATATTCAGCGAATATGAATCCGGAGCAACATTGTTGCACTTAGCTCTGATGTATAACCATACAGATATCTGTGATCATCTCATTGCGTTTGGAGGACGAGATCTTATCATGGCCACATACACATCAGAGAAGTATTTCAATCAAACCACATTGCATATTGCTGTATCAAACAAAAACTCAGTTGCAATAAGAGCCCTTTTGAAACCTCTAGACATAAAAGATAAAATTGACCTTATGAATACAAACGCTACTGGCAGTTTCTACAGAAACGATCACATTGATGGCCAGACTTGTTTAACTGCTGCCCTATGGGCAGGTTCTCCGGACATAGTTTCTTTCTTGGTTAAGGAAGGTGCTAACCTTATGAATATTAACATGCAAGGGGAGAACATACTACATAGAATGATCCATCAATCAATCATGTTTCCTGAAAGAGACAATACAGAAACACTTAACATTCTCCAAGGCTTATCAGGGCTGTTTGGGTGTAGACGAATCGCGCAAGATACAACATTCGAAGGACCTATATACGAACATGCCAAAAGAAAAATATTTCTCAATTTACTCGGAACAAGAAATGCAGATGGTTACACACCATTGTTACTCGCTGCTAAGATGAAGTCAAAACTCATGAAAGAACTTCTTAACCTTGAGGACATTTATAAAATGAGGCAAATCAACCTTGGCTCATCTGCATTGATTACATATGATGTGACAGAGGTGTCAACTAGAAAGGATGGTAATTACAATAAATTCTCCTGTCTGCACATAGTCGCGCATGATCCAAGTCCTAGTGATACGAACGGACAATTACAACAAGATATTAATGATATTGAACCGCTATCTACTGTTTTCCAGCTGAAATGGAACGTTTACAAGTGGGTTCTAATTGTGTGGTTCCTTTTACACCTCTCCTTCATGGTTTGTTTGACCCATTTTTCAATGCAACCCCTACTTCCACGAGTATTTCAAACAGAAAACAATCTGACTATAATCGCAAATAGTGCAATAAACGTTAACGGTCACAAAAACGTCACCCCATCACCGCAATATGAGACAATTATCAAACGTGACGTTGGTGATTTGCTTAATCATACATTGACGACGAATCACACTCTCAACGAACAATACAATACTTCAACTGGTGAATCATTTAATACAACTCAAGTCAGTGCCGAATCGTCTTCTACAACCATTAACACTACAACTTCCAATACGACTACAACATCTACCCCTACCTCCACAACAAAGCAACCAATTATCATTCCTTTGCCTCCTTCAACCAAAAATTCCACAACCATGAAGACCGCTTCTACAACTCCTCTTCCAAGTACACATTTGAATGCCGAGCAGTATTTGACGAAAGAGCCAACCAGTTCAGTTAATAGCGTCAAAGTACCTGATAATACTAGTGGGGCAAATGATCAAGTACAATCTAAAAATCAAAGAAGTTCAGTGTATGCATTGTTTATAAGTCTGCCATGTATATATATGATAATGGAAATGCTGGACATACTGTGTACATTCTCTCTCAGTTTGCCTGACCAAACGTTTCGTTCTTTCGTAATGTATCTCCCAAAGGCAATATGGAAAGATTGGTCAGTTACTGGAAATGGGCCATACCGTCTGCTAGCAGTTTTATTTTCTACGTGTGTTTTAATATGGTTTGCGTTATATATGAGTGATAGATATTATCACGATATACCACTCGCTGGAGCATTATTGTTTGGTTGGGTCTTCATTTTGCATTTCGGTAGAGCTTGCCCAGTACTAGGAAAGTTTCCACTAATGATTCAGACAATATTCTTCAAGGACATAGTGTCTTTCATGATATTGTATATGTTTATATGGTTAGCATTTTCTTTTGCAATCCATTCGCTGATAGTTCAAAGCTCCAAAACATTGTCTGACCCTGTCAGCTCCACGTTGTACAGTATGATACAGTATGTTATCACTGACCTAGGTGTCAAACAATCAGACCATGCCATAAGGGATGTCTACTTTGGAAGAGTTCTTCTGACAATATATGGCCTGGTCTCTATACTTCTACTCATACATATGCTCATAGCAATAATGAGTACCTCTCATCAGATATTGAAATCAGACAGTTGTGCTTTAGTGAAGAGGCAGCAGCTCTCGCTGATGTTAATGATTGAGAGAAGGCTAATATGGTGTAAACCACTGTGTGACTACTCTGAACGTAGTATCTATAAACATGAAAAGAGATATTACATCGAGGTACGCGAGTTGTCATGATGTATGACACATGTATAATATCGAATCTACAGTGCGTATAAAAAACGCAACAGATTGTTATCTCGCAAAAGCACAAAACCAGTGATAACAGCATTGATTTCATTCAATGCACCATAAAGCCACGTGTCTCCTCTTTACAATGATATATCATTCATTGATATTTGGTCATGGTTGGGCGAGTAATCATTCCATTTGCAAAGTGGGCCGAAATTAGCTCGGGGCCAAGTTATAAAAATCGCAAAAGTCAGTGTACAGAGGCCGATGCAATATTGGAAGAAAACATAAAACCAATGCTGACTGCATCCTTTTCATTCAATGTACCAAAAAGCCAAATTACTCCTCTTTGCAATGGAATATCATTCATTCACAGGCCGAATAATCATTAATTTTGCAAAGTGGGGCCAAATTCAAATCCTCCAAATTGCCACCATTTCCTTGCACATAAAGATGCGCTCATCTGTCCACGTCATGCATGGTTTAGCCCTGAGTCATCTGTGGGTTAAAGCAGAGAAAAGCAGCCCAAGGGCAATTCTTTCTCGCGGTTTTGCAATATCTGGTAGAGAAATAGTGAGCACAGATGCTCCTGAGATAGCTCCAAAAGAAAAAGTCACAACAATTCAAGTAACAATTTCACTTTCTAAGCTCATTAACAAACTTATTCTCCATGAAACCTTCCCCGACATATGGAAAATGGGCAGTATCTGTCCTATATTTAAAAATAAAGGCGATAAAACTGACATTGGGAATTATCAACCCATTACTCTTCTAAATATTTTATCAAAGGTCTTTGAACATGTTGTGGCAACAAGACTAAATGCCCACCTTAAAGTTAATAATTTAATATTTGAATTCCAATCTGGGTTTCTTGAAGGGCATAACACTGAATTCCAGCTACTGGCAATAAATCACTTTCTTCATTCAAATATCAAAGATCATAAAGCCATACGTGCAATATATTTAGACATTAGCTCTGCTTTTGATCGTGTTCCTCATAAGCTGCTGCTTGCAAAACTGAAAGCATATGGCATTGAAGGCCAATTTTATCAAATTCTCCAATCATATTTGTCAAATCGTAGAGTCAACGTAAATGTAGGTGGTCAATCATCGGATACTTCTTCTGCAAACTATATCAACTGCGGCGTCCCTCAGGGATCTATCCTAGGTCCAATTTTATTTTTGATTTATATACAGGGTGGTCCGAAAAAAAGTGAACCCCTGCAACTAGCCATATTTCCCTTATATCTTGCAGAGTTCTTTTTTATTTTCACATGTTGTAGAGGAAGGTCTAAAATTTATGGTGGTACCATACATTTTTCTTAGTCTTGAAATTTGCAGAAATTATAAGCCCTAACCAAACATTACTGAAAATGGACAAATTGTGATTTTCAATATCCGCGATTCTTCAACCCTTTAACACCTTTCCCCTGAGATTTTTTTAAGCTGCAGTCTTAAAGAACTAATATTTTCTGACGTTGTTCAATTTTAAATCCTGCACATTATGGCTTAAAACTAGCATTCTACATTTGTTAGTTGCAAAGTTATTGTGATCCAAAGAGATGTGCTAAGCTTCCACAGACGAAAACATTTTCCAGTCAAATCATGAACATACCCCTATATGATCTTGAAATGTCAATATCTTCATAAATCATGGACCAATTCTAATGATATATGGCTCATAACATTTAATATTGGATTTTCTTTTGATTTTTTAAAGATATTTGATGAAGGGGTTATCAGATTCCTGGTCACAGGGGGCAACTTCCTTCCATAAGAGGCCCCCCTCTAACTGTTGGTGTAGGTAACATACCCCTGAACTCTTGAACAGTTAAAAATGCTTCAAAATGATCAATGAAAGTGTGAAATGTGTTTTCTGCTTTAAGGGTTTTAAACTTGTATCTCTAACTGAAAGCTGTTTAAGATCATCCAATGTGTTTCAACAATTTCCGTGAATCACATTTGTAAAATTTTGTACAATATCTAATTTCCAGGCATGTTTGTTAAACGCTTGTAATTTCCTCAAAATTTAAGACTGAGAATAAATTATGGCATCAACCAAACTTTTAGACCTTTCTCTACAATATGTGATAATATGAGCCAATTCATGCATGTATTAAGAAAAATGTAGCCTGTTGCAGGGGTTCACTTTTTTTTGGACCACCCTGTAAATGACTTACCCGATGATCTTTTGGGAAAGGCGTTTATCTACGCTGATTACACATCACTATATTACCCCTTTGATCCATCTGATCCATCTGATCCTGACATGCATATAATCAATCATGATCTTAATATCATAACTAACTGGTCTCAAAAATGGAAACTAGATTTCAAGCCTGAAAAAACAGAGGAAGTTATCTTTCAAAGCCAGCGCTGTGTATTTCCTACTCCGCCACCTTTAGCCAAACTTGGAAATGGGGAAATTAAAAGGAATAATCTTCATAAGCATCTAGGGTATACTTTCGATTATCTTCTTTCTAACAAAAATCATATATATGACATTGTCAAGAGAGTACAAAAACTGCTTAATCCATTGAAGGCACTTACATCAAAGATTAACTCGAAACATTTGGAGACAATGTACAACTCATTCATAAGGCCTCATTTTGATTACGCAGACATTCTTTATCATTCATCAACTCAAGCACTGATCAATATCCCTAGCAAGTTGCATTATCAGGCTGAATTATTGTGTTCTGGGTGTCTCCATGGCTCTGATACATGTAAAGTTATGGGGGTCTTAAACCTGGCACACTACCCCAAAGGAGGGAACAACACATTCTTAACTTCATGTACAAAGTAATCAGAAACCAGGTACCCTCCTATGTATCTTCAATATTTGAAGAATTCAAAAATCCAGCTACCAGAAGAACAAGCAATACAGAAGTATACAAAATTCCTATAAGGTCAACTGCTCAATTTATTAAATCCCCTATTCCTAATGCAATATCACTGTGGAACAAATTACCTAAACCTCTTTTAGAATATGCCTTAAAATTTTCCCTACCATCGTTCAAACAGAAAGTAATAAACACTTTCTGCCCAAGAGAATAATCAGTTCAACGTCCCTGATTAATTTAACAAGGAATCAAGAAATCACTATCAACAGAGCTCGTGTAGACTTATTTTTGAAAGCAAGACTTTTTGCACACCAATTTACATTTATAGACTCGGCTCATTGTTCTTGCGGCAAACCTGAAACACTAAAACATTTATTTTTCAAGTGCCCTCTATGCCAAATTAATAGGCATGCCCTGATGGAAGAGGTCAACAATAACTTCTATAATAAGATCAGCCAACTAATAAACATGGATGATAAACTTAATTTTCTCTTATATGGTGACGAGACATTATCCTTAGCAGAACTAAGTAAACTTCTTATCATCGTCAGCAATTTTCTCCATGATAACAAGACATAGCAAAAGGTCTCATCTAAGCCCTGGCGAACTCATAATATATTTATTTTGTTTTTTACACATCTACTTGGCACAAACCCCTCTGGTCCCTGGGATACCCTTCGATGCACAGTCGTCCTCAAACAGCTAAATACTATACTTAATTTTTTACATGTAAGTGATGGCCAACCTATAATGCCAATATGGCGATTGGTGGCCGAAAATGTATTGACTTTACCTCAATAAAGTTTATACTATAAAAAAAATTCAAGTAAGAGGAACTTCCATTGGCACTTTTTGATTTTTTCAATATCTAAAACTTGGTGCAGAGCCGATTTTGATCCACTGTGCAAATGGAAGGATTTCTCACCCAACCATTATCACATGTGAATGAATGACATATCATTGCAAAGAGGAGATACGTGGCTTTATGGTACATTAAATGAAATTGATGTAGTCATCACCAGTTTTGTGATTTTACGAGATAACTACTTGTTGCGGTTTTTTGATACGCCCTGTATAGCATATATATCTGCAAAATTAATTAGGCATGTTAATGTTGAATAAAATCACGTGATAATAGGAAATGGAAATAACAAACTATTTGCTGATATCCTATCCATATACGTAGAATAAACATTAGGGAGGTTAAGATTAGCGTAAAAATATACGTGTACCTATCTCTATCCGTATGTTTGATACGTACATTATATGTATAGGTAATGCGTATTGCAAAATGAGTTTAAGATTAACGTAAAAGGCTACGACACCGTATGCTACAATTTATGATAAAATTAATATCCTAATTATAGAATGAAAACCATGCGGTGGCTTTTAGGCCATATACCAGTACATGTCACCTCCAAGAACTGTTATATACTTCAGAGAGAGTGTGGTGTAGCTACTGTAGTTGGGAGGGGGTGTTGCTTGTGGGCCCGCTAATAGGGCAGTGAAAAGTTAAATTTCTAGCATGATCCAGCAATGAGAGTGACCAAATAGTAAAGTTAAACAATTAAAACCACGAGAAAATGGCTGATTTCATACATTTACAATAAGCAAAGCTGATGAAGAATGTGTAAATTCAACAATTTCATGCATCATCACATGGCATCGTTTATCGCATCAATGAATGTGTTCGACCACTTAATATCTATGCAGATCGAATGAGAAATGTTTGTTGTTAGTATTTTAAAGTTTAATAGAAGATATTTGATCTAGAAATGACATAATTTGTTGGATGAAAACATACGTTTTTGAATTACCTATCTTCGGCCATTTATAGGTAATTACGTATCGTAAACCCTGTAACGTAGGTAAAATACCGCTTAGTGTAATAACAAACTACGTGTAGGTATAGGTAAATGGGTTATTTACGCTAATCTTAAACTCCCTACTATTTGGACAACGCTTTTTAGCTCAATGTATCCGTATCCGCAACGTATATACCAGATTTCTGCGTAGTCAGTTCAATTTATAGGTGTAGCGATACAGAAAACACGAGAAATGAGGCTCTCGTATGTTGTTGTTTTTTTATCAAGAGATTTTATTGCCATTAATCATTATACAGTAAGTACATGTCATACATGAGGGACCAAATCGCCAGTGCCA